TTACCAAATTCTAAATTTAGATTTTGAGAGATTTTTGGATTCGACGTTATTTTAACGTTATTTTATTAAGTTAACTAGCTATAAAAATTATACCATAAATAGATAAGATAATAATGATTTACATGAATAAAAAATTTCAATTTTAATAAAAAATTCGTTGTATGTACTAACCCATATCATGTATTCAAATATTTTCTAATAATAAAAGTAAAAAATAAATAAGATTTAATAGTTAAAAGTTCTTAATAAATCAACCAGAATTTTAGATCTAGTTATTATATTACAGAATGTTAATGTAAATAAATTATAATTACAATACAATTGTATCAGCAAATATTTTCATTATAATTGTTAATCTGCATGTAAAAACTATAGTATTTTCATTAAATTTTACTAAGAAAATTAATAAAAATTTTTAAATATAACAGAAAACAAATGCGAGTAATTAACAAACTAACTAAGCAGTGACTGTTATGATGAAATCTTGAAACTTTTACAGTAAAAAGGAAGGAAAACTACAAAAAAAATAATTTTACTTTATATCTTATGTGTTCTTAAAATAAGAGTCGCATGCCTATTGTCAACAGTTAATGCTAGTTCATTGCTAAAACTTGTACTTCTAAATCAAAACGTTTATCGAAGTTTAATTATGTTAAACATAGAAAATCGTCATTTCTGTTTTTAAGTTTCGTCACCCTTATCTGCTTCTGGTAATAGTTACACAAGATCCAACCGATCATTGAAATTATAAATCAAATGTATATCATTTAATTTAATAAAATGATTACGAAATTTTTGCATGAGAGATTTTATTCTAATGATTGAAAAACTGTTAAGCTTATGCATTATAAGGCATTAAGCATATAAAATTCATTTTTTGTGATCAAAAATTATAGTGAATAAATTTGAAAAGGATCTGATCTTTTTTTTTCATCCTAATTTTCATTTTTGGAATTCCCAAGAGTGGTATGCATTTGATAGATTATCTGTTTTTGGTGGCGTACCCAGGATGAATAATGCATTGTAAATGATAAAATCAAGATTATTTAATCATAAGACATCCTAAAACCGATGTAATATTACCTAAATTTCATGATTATAATAATTAAAAAGGAAGACTATTGTAATCTTTGCATATTACTGTATAAAACGAAATGATTTTAAAAGTTTCAGTCAAAAAAGTGTCATTTTTTTGATATTAAAATGAAAAGAAACTTGTCGTTCCATGATGTTGTCAAAGTACTCAGAACTCTTTCCCTCCTCATACAATCATCACTCGCTCTAGAAGATAATGATTTTAGGGTAAAAGATTCATTCTATATCCTTATTACCGCACTACTTTCGATGTTGATATATTTAAATTTGAACAAAAAGAATTGTTTAATGGAACTTGGTTCAATTTGTCTTTCATGTCAATTGACCATCAACGGTTTAGGAATTTGGTTCATGATTAACATGCACAAAAATACAAATGATACCTTCTTTATACAATACTTGATAACATACACCATACTTTTAACAACATCCATTTTGCTTGATTTATTATTACTTATACCAAAACTCCTGTGTCATACTTATACATGAAATCATGTTTCCTACCTTGAGTCAAAATGATAATTCACATGGTTTTCTTCGTAATCGCTTTTCAAAGATTTAACTACACCAGTAACGACGTATAGATCATCATATGTCTTTACTTAATCTTAATCTTGTACGCGATGAAGAAATCAATTACAAATCTCCTTATTATACATCATGAAAAAAAGGTTATCGGTATCAATGAAAGGGCTGAAGATGTTTATAACCATCTTGCAACGTTCAATGAAACATATGATTTGAAAAGTATAAGTTTTGCATTTTATACGTACAGCGGTTTTATTTTGGCGATGTTATGTGCTCCATCTAGTTTATTGTTAAAATGTTACTTGATTTTGGTCCTTTTTTCCCGAACCATCGCGGATAAAAAATCAGAAGAGGTCGTCAAAAAGTCATCAAAAATGTCTAATCAAATCCAAACCGTGTGATTTGACTATCTAGAATGACAAAATTATTATTACTTTCGAATTTTCTTTTTTTTTAAAATATCATTTTATTGTACAGTGAATGGGTTTACAAATGAATGTGGTAAAACTACCTACGCTCATAGATAAAAGAATAAGTCTCTTACAAAATTTACATATTCTCAACTTTGTGGCATTTTCTTTTTTTTTGAATCTAAGAAAATGTTTTGCACATCACGTGAAAGTTCGACAATGAGATCTGTTTTCATTTGTTTAAAAAATCATAAATATTTATGTAATATTTGTTTTAAAACGACTAATTGTTTAAAAAATAAAATAAACAATAAAATATAAATATACCTATTAGTTCCAACTATTAGCAAGACAGCTTGGGATCTTTTTCAGTGATTGATCAGATAATATTTCTAATCATAATTTTGATAATTAATAGCCTATTAATCAATTGTGTCAGTTTTGCTACGCTCCGTCAAATCTTAATTTCCGATTACAATTTACAATCGAGAAGATTAAATTTAATGGCACCGCTTTAACGCTTATAATATATATGTTGAGCCTCAGATGACGATTTTGCGTGATAATGATTGGCCTAAATTATGAGCCTATTTTGGGCTGATCTTATAATGCCTTAAGAAGGTTTGGCCAGCATTAATCATCGACACCTGATGCACAACATATACAAATAAAGTTGAATTTTGTAATAAGAATAAAAATTCACTCACATCATCTTGCAACTGAAATCAGTCAATACATTAATTTCAATCTTGAATTCATAATTCAATCCAAACTTACGGTTCTTCCTTTAATTTCTTAATGTCGTGGTTATTAATGATCCTAAAAAAATAGTAAACCAAATATGATAATTCAATTACCTACATCTTCAAAGTTTAATTCTAAACTATGAGTATTTAAAACCTAATAGATGGTTTAGACGTACGTGTTCTGATATTATCTTTAAAACTATCATGATGTATAAAATAATTCAACCCATATTAAGTAGGAATTAAGTTACTGTAATACTTTCAAGTTAAAGTTATTAAATAATGTAATGTTGAGAGATTTACCTATCACGTTAAAATTAAATTTATTTCCACAGAAACATCAACGTTGCCACTGCTAAATAGTTCAATCATAATTTTTTATCAGGAAAATAAGATTTAAAATTATAAGCCACATTTTTTTTGTTCAACTTTTTTAAATTTTTTTTTTTTAATTTGCACATTTCTAAATGAAAATAATTAAAATAAGCGTTGGTATTTTTTTTTTTTGTAGAGATTTACGCTAATAACATTATTGCTATTATCTTTCAACACATGAAAATGATATAAACGTATATGATTCGCAATGTGCATAGTGTACAAACAATCGATAATCTAATATCTGTCATACAATTTCACATGCTTCGCCATAAATTAAGCTACTTGATTATTTATAAATCGTGGTGAATGCAAAATTTTACCAAAATTTGATCATAAAATCTCGTGAAACGTACAAAAAAAAATATTCTGTCATACATTAAAATTACCGTGCGTGGCTTAAAAATTTGATTAACGTTACTTGTGCATATTTTTTTTTTTTTGTTTTTCTCCAAGAGTTTTAACAAAACTTTTTAATTAACATGCAATCTTCCAACAATTCTAATGAGTGGTTTAATTGGATTGAAGAATCTATTTCAAGAAAAAGTATCAAATACTACGAATATAAACAATTTAGTAATTTTAAAGAGATTGGTAAAGGCAGCTTTGGAAAAGTCTATCGTGCAAGTTGGAAAAGTTCACATCTAGCTTTAAAATCATTTCATAATTTTAACGATGCCACTGTTAAAGAACTTGTTCGTGAGGTAATTTTTATACAATATGTGCTTCAGTCTATTTTGTTCCATTAGTACAAATCGTTTATATTTCAAGCTAAAATTATTTTTATAATAATATAGCTTGAACTTCAACGGGAAGTTGATTTTCATAGCAATATCATTCGCTTTTTGGGAATTACATCATCGAACCAAGGTATAAAGTCTTAAATAATGGATTAATTATAGTTTTATATTGACTTTTTTAAATTTGATTTTTAACTCCTTTATATATATATAAAAAAAAAAAATTTAGAAAATCAAAATGAATTGAATAATTATTGGTTAGTAATGGAATATGCTGATGGTGGTGCGCTTAAAAACTATTTGAAGGAAAATTTTGATAAGCTTGCTTGGGGAGATAAATATAACTTGGCATTCCAGTTGGCTTGTGCTGTATCGTGTTTACATGACGAAGGAATTATACATCGTGATTTGGTATGATGCCCTAATGTCAAATTTATTTATTATGAACATTTCTTTTAAATAAGTAATAATATATTTTTTTCTTTATATGAATAGCATTCAGGCAATATTTTAATCCATCAAGGCGTTATTAAACTAGCAGACTTTGGTTTATCAAAAAGGATTGAAGCGACAACTAATCAGTCAAAGTTATTTGGTGTAATTCCTTATATTGATCCAAACAGGTTTCTTAGAGAAAGAAAAAATGACAAAACATCGATACAATTTACACTAAACAAAAAGAGTGACGTTTACAGTGTTGGCGTGCTCTTATGGGAACTATCAAGCGGTCATCCACCTTTTCATGTTGATGGTGAAGAATATGACATTTGTTTAGCTATAGAAATTTTACGAGGTCGTAGAGAAAGTATCATTCCTGGTACATCTGAAGATTATGTGAACATTTATACTGGTAAATATATTATCTAATTAAAAAACTAGATTTTATTTCCACGGTCGTTAAATTTTTATATGATTCTAGAGTGCTGGGATATTGAGCCAGAAAATCGTCCGGACATGAGTCTAGTAGTTGATCAATTAAATTCAATTATTACAAAATCAAACGTTAAAGGAAATAAACAAATGAATGTTGATGATGAAGCAAGCCTTCAATTACCACCGCAATACCGTTATTCTAAGAGTGTCAGTATTAATAATTCACTAGATAAAATGAAAATAGAAGAATTCGATGATACTAGTTTAACGATTACGGATCTTAATAAGGACGACATACTATATACCTCAGGAGGATTACAAAGATATCGCAAATTAACTAAACTCTTTTGCGATTTTATTAAAATTACTAGCTTACCAACCTTACCTAACTCCTTAACTGAACTCGGATGCTCTTTTACTAACATAAATAGCTTACCAACTTTACCCAACTCCTTAACGGTACTTGATCTCTCTTATACTCCAATAACTATCCTACCAGCCTTACCCAACTCGTTAACGGAACTTGTTTGTTCTAAAACTCCAATAACTATCCTACCAACTTTACCCAACTCCTTAACAATACTCAGATGTTTTGGCACTAAAATAAATAGCTTACCAACATTACCCAACTCCTTAACGGAACTCGATTGCTCGAATACTCCAATAACTATCCTACCAACTTTACCCAACTCGTTAACGAAACTTGATTGCTCTCATGCTCCAATAACTATCCTACCAATCTTACCCAACTCCTTAACATTACTCGGTTGTTATAAGACTAAAATAAATAGCTTACCAACATTACCCAATTCCTTAACGAATCTTTATTGCTATAATACTCCAATAACTTTCCTACCAACCTTACCCAACTCCTTAACGGAACTTTTTTGTTATAGCACTAAAATAAATAGCTTACCAACTTTACCCAACTCGTTAACGAAACTTGATTGCTCTCATGCTCCAATTACTATCCTACCAACCTTACCCAACTCCTTAACGAAACTCATGTGTAATTTGACTAACATAAATAGCTTACTAACTTTACCCAACTCCTTAACGGAACTTTTTTGTTCTAAAACTCCAATAACTATCCTACCATCTTTACCCAACTCCTTAACAATACTCAGATGTTTTGGCACTAAAATAAATAGCTTACCAACTTTACCCAACTCCTTAACAGAACTTGTTTGTTCTAAAACTCCAATAACTATCCTACCAACATTACCCAACTCCTTAACAATGCTCAGTTGTTATAGGACTAAAATAAATAGCTTACCAACATTACCCAATTCCTTAACGAAACTTTATTGCCATAATACTCCAATAACTTTCCTACCAACTTTACCCAACTCCTTAACGGAACTTTATTGTTATTACACTAAAATAACTAGCTTACCAAATTTACCCGATTCCTTAACGAGTATCAAACCTAAATCTTTAAGAAACTCAACGCCTCAAAATTATTCTGCCAAATCAAATAACTCCTGTACTATCAACTAATCTTTAATCTACATAACCTTTCTTAATACTTAAGTTTCTTTTGAGGAGATATTATAAGCTTTCACATAATTTTAAACTCGTGTTAAATTGGATTATTTTATCCTAAGTATCGATGATAAAATTGTGACCATAATTAGATTCATTAAACTTTGCAATACATAGATAATTTCTTTTTTATTTAACTAAGCCGGAACATTTCTTTGTATTTTCTATAAAATAAATTTAATATTACAATACTTTTCATTTATAAATAATAAATGTTTCTTTTAAACAAAATGGAATACTTTAAATTTCAAAGACGTAAAGTTGATTTTCGTAACCTTCTAACGCGTACGCGATTTGGTAATTGAACATAATTAAAATCCAACTTTTCTTCTTTTTTCAGTCTTCTAAAATTTCTCTAGAAATTTTCAAACATCCTTTGAAAATACACATTTCACTTTCGCTTGAACGAAACCTAATAAGAAACAAATTGCAAAACCCAAATTAGGCAGCGTCATAAATATGAAGAATTATTTGAGATTCATTTTTGTTAATTTCTAAAGAATACTTTAAAAATGTGTAAAAATTAAAAAATATTCTTCAAAATATACAATTTTCAAACACCATATTAAAAGTTTAAATAGTTTACAGATGCTATTTTCGCCTTGAAGGAATGTAACAGATTTCAGAGACTTTCTTGCAACGCATTTATTTATTTTATACTAATAAATTTTAAATTTTTTTAATTCAATGATAGCCGTCAAGCTACTAACAAATTTCCCGACAAAACCAATACCAACAAAGGTCTCCCAAATAAAGTTATCTAAGAATACTAAAGCTTCAACAACCAAAAAAGGAATCAAATAAATCCTTTCTATTATTGTAGTGATGTAGTGATTGGCTATAATTTTTTTTTTGATCATAATAAAATTTTTTTTTCAATAACAAGATTACCAGCATTTCCTAACTCCTTAACAGTTAATTTACTTATCTTTTTTAAAATTATAATAATTTTTAAAATATAACATTTTATTTTGCAACAAAATCTTTATCTAAATTAATATAAATATTTGAATTTAGTCTTAACGAATTACAGATAAATCAGGCCACCGTATCAAAATCATATTTTTAACTCCAAACATCAGTAAAGGCTATATCAACGTATAATCTCAAATTACCCGTAACTTTCTTGGGACAATTTTATTCAGTTGAATAAAATTTGTTTAATTACTGTACTACCGTCTATTTTCACGTGATTTTTAAGCTGTAAAAAAATAATAAGGTAGAATTATCTTCTTTGTTTTCATAAATATTTTTTAAATGTAATTTATTTATTTATTTTCGATTTTCTTTAATTTGTAATTATTTTATTATTTTTCTATTTTTTTTCAATTATTTTTCTAATTTTTATCTTTAATTTTTTTAATTTAATTAATTATCTTAATTTTGGACTTTTTTTAAATTTTTAAATACCGTGATTTTTTTTTAAGAAATTTTTTTTTTATAATCACGCGTTCTCTAAAATTTTTTAATTATTTTAATTTGCAGTATATCCCTATTTTTTTTAATTAAATTATTTATTTTTATTTTTTGGGATTTAATTTATTTAGGGTGTCGATCAAATCAAAAAGTCGAATCTTAGAATCTAATCTTGAGAAATGATAATTGTGATAATATCAATTCTCAAATCAATTCTAAATATCAAAATCGATTCTAATCCCTAATTAAAGCTTGACTTCGTAAATATATAAAAGTTCATATTCTTTGATTTATTTATTTTTAAGAAAGTTATTTGATATTATACATACTCTAAAATATCGAATTTATTGATTTTGTAGTGTTTTCCGAAGCTTTTAACTCTGCATGTTATGCAGTGATAGCAAATGACCTGGTCATTTGGCTAAGACCCTAAGAAACGTTAAAATTGTCATTTGGAATTCGGTAATGACTCATGAAACAATAACCTACCTATATCATTAGGGTCAGGGTTCATCAGAAATATTGATTATACATAATTAATAAAATTTTATCGAACATTATCTTATTTCTTTAAACTTTTATTTTGAGAAAAACTAAGTTGAATTGAACTAATTTTATTTTGAATTATTTTAAGCAGTACAATGGGGAAAGAATATGGGAGGTAAGCTATTAAAATCACCTTACGGATCATATGATTTACTATGTTCGTAACTCGATTTTAATAGCAAACCTCCCATATACGTTTCGGGAGACTTTTTTTTCTGACTTCATGGATAATATAAGAACAGGTTACAAATAAATTATTTAAAATTAGGAAATGGTAAGTTTCGAGCTCAATAATCGCAAAGGAATTATTTTAATCATCACGTATGCGGACAGAGAAAAACACGCGGCTGGAAATTTTCACATTGCGTAGACTTATATTGCCCTTTCGCTTCGCTCAGGACAAATAATGAAGCACATCGTGAGCGGAATTCTTAAATCTAATCAATATAAAATTTTGAATTTTCGTTAGAAAAGGTTAAAAATGTAGTACAAAAATTAAAAACAAAATTATATTATAAAATTTTAAATTTTACATTATTATATAGTATTTTTAATTATGATCCTTCATAAAACTAATTGTACAAACTTCCATGATATCTATATTGGTATAATATAAAGATTGTTTACCAAAAAGACAAAAACCAACAACTACTAATGAACATGATTAATATTTGATATTTTATTAAATATACGAGTAGCTTTCTATAAGGACTCCAGTTTTGTCTAAATTAGTATTGTAACTAACCTTGTAATAGTCGTTTATCATCTTTCATAACTGAAAGATAATTTATTTATTTATCATTCAATTCGTATTGAATGATCCATTATCATCTTTCAGATAGAAAGATGATTTTTTATCGTTCGATTAGTATCGAACTATTTGTCATCATCTTTTAGACCGAAAGATGATTTTTTATCGTTCGATTAATATTAAATCATTCGTCATCATCTTTCAGACCAAAGATAATTTTGTATCATTTAATTAGTATTGAACAATCTGTCATCATCTTTCGTAACTAAAAGATGATTTTTTATCATTTGATTCATATCGAATGATCCATTATCATCTTTCAGATTGAAAGATGATTTTTTTATTGTTTGATTCATTTTGAATGATCTGTTATTATCTTTCATAACTAAAAGATGATTTTATCATTCAATTCGTATCAAACATCAATTTATCGTTGATTTAATTAAATAAAATATTTTTAATTTTTAAATTTATTTGTTAAAGTTAATTTTTATTAATTATTTAGGCGACAAATTGATTCAACATTGCTTCTCTTTTAAATTCTCCTTCTAACTTTAAAATTTCATCACTTTCATTTTCAAAATTATATTAATTATCATAATAATAATCATTGTCTCGAACTTCCTAAATTTCATCACAAATTTCAATAAAATTATGTAATAATATAGCATAATCAGTTAAATTAATAGCTGTTTTTACATCTTTTACAGATATTTCTTTTAAAGCTTTAAATCTAGCTTTCAATCTACCAAATGCATATTCTACAACAACCCTATGCTTTGAATGAATAAAATTAAACTGACGTTGTCTATGATTAAAAGGATTTTTAAAAGGAGATATCAAAAAAGAGAAATTGGATATGCTGAATCACCTAGCACATAATCTTCATCTTGAATATATTCAGTTCTATTGAGATAAAAATCTGAATTGGTATAAACTCATGCATCATATACCGATCCAAGCTATCCAATTATATAATGAATTAAAATTCCGCAAAAATCAACAATTTCTTGATATTGAATTGCATATCTTTTTTTTCTTGTAAAAAATACTGTTGGATCTTGTGTAGGTGCTTCATTTAAAATAAAATGAGTTCCATTTATTGCTCCAATAATATTTTGAAATTCACCAATATTTTGAAATTCTGTATGAACAACTGTTCTAATATTATCTTTAGGCTATTGAATAAATTCTGATTTTTTATTCCTTATAGCTCTCATTACACGATTTACATAAAAATTATAATACCTTCTGATACTCCAAATCTAGAGCAAATACCCATAATTTCATCTTTAGAACTAATACGTCAAAGAAATATTATTAATTGAAAATCAACTAATGCTTATGGCTTTTTTCCTTAGCTTTAAAATATTACATCATATTGTAAAATTTGTACTAGTCTATTAAACTGCTGCTTTTCTATTCGTAAAGTTTTTTTAAACGGATGTCATCATATAAAGGTAATATTTCATACCACCAATGTTTGGATTTAACAATATAATGTGTTTGAGTAACAAGATAATGAGAAGACAAAGCAAGAAAAACTACTTTTATTAGTTTAAAAATATCATTTTTTAGTTCATTTAATTTATTATTAAAGAATTATTTATCTCCTCTATTATTAATAATAATAAAGAATTATCTATATCTTGTTTAATTGACATGATTGGTTAAAGTTAAAATGAAACAGATCAATTTGGAATTTATCTGCTCAATTCTTACCATTTTTTAATTGGTTAAAATAATTTTAAAAAAATTGGATTGGATCAAAATAGATTAGAATTGAATAAGGCTATTGTGAAAAGGTCTAGAAAGTTTCTAATAATACGTTATTAATTAAGCCACTGATCAGCATAATATATTAGCAGTAAATCAAACAGTATCTTTCTGTAGAATTAACTATAATGATCATCAACGTAATAGATGAGAAAATCAGGGCTATTGATAATAAAATTGAAGAAACAAAAAAAGCTCTTGGGATAGTTGAAGGGAAGACCATTCTCGCTTCCTTTTATGAAAAAAGGAAAGAACTGCAAAAGCAGCAGACCGTGCTTCTAGGCCAGCAGACAGGTAGCGACTTTGTGACTTAGACGTTGAAAACATAGAATAGTATAGGGTAGACATAATGATATGCTTCTCGCTTATAAATTTATTCTATTAAGTATTCTATACACACTCTTATTGCTTACATCTTGTAATGTTATCTTAATCCGTTTTTTATACTTTTAGAATGTTTCCTAAATGAAGAAAATTATCTGTCATGCATTTCTCTAACCATTGTTTATCTTTTGAATACTAGTACTTCGACACATTCTATGTGTAGCGGGGTCTCTGGCTATCAAGAATAATTTTCTAGAATGGATTTCTTGAAGAAGTAACTCAATTCAGCTTTGATTAAAGAGAGCGAAAGTTCAGTAGACCCCAATTCGTTGAAGGTATAAGAGCTCACGTTGAATATAATGTTGAAATTGCTATGAACTTTAATATCTTTCGTACATTGAACTCGCTTTTGTTTTCAACATTTGGGTTTTAAAACAAAAAGATTCTGACTTTAATTTTGATGATCCAAACATTGGCCTTTAAAAACCAGATTTCACTTGCCGAAAGTATGATGGTTTTAATGATCATATAGGAAAAAGAATCATAAGCATAGAAATCAAAAGAGACTGTGTTATGATACAATTACGTGAAATTAGTTTAAGTAAATTATTTGATGAACACTTTACTGGTCATACACGTAGCAATTTAGTTAACGTAATTAGTTAGATTTACAACTATATGGTCACTGATCTATCAATACTATTAATTTTTGAATCTCTTCTGTTATAGTCAACAAGTCTGCCAGTATTCAAAACTTATGCATACTTAGTCCGCCTGACAACAAGTGAATCTAAATCACCTCATCCAAATGTAATTTCAGGATGAACTAAACAAGATATCAGAGTACAAGGTTCTAGAATTCAAAACTCAGGTTTCTATAACCAAAGTTTCAATCAAAGTTTGGGTCCAGATAGTAGTTATTACAACTAGCAAGGTTCCAGGGACCAGACCTCTGAAGATCAAGATTCTATAACAGGAATAGAAGAACAGACTTATGGCTACAAGGATTTCAAACTTAAGAGTATTCTAGGATGTAGACAAACTGGGAAAACATTTTGAGTCAGATTCTATAGAGAGCTAATTACTTTGAAGGTTATTGATCTATATAAGGAAGCTGATCTCTTGCATAAAATTCAAAAAGAAATTGAAATATATAAAAATCTTGTCAAAATTCAAGGAATATATATTTTCAAATTGGTGTGTCATGGTTATTATGAATATAGGATGGGCTATTTTATGGGTATTACTATTACATAATGTGAAAGTGGGAGTTTAAGGACCAAAGGTCCGACCTCTACTGAAACATTGTGTGTGTGGGCCATAGAACGTTAAAAACAATATCGATTTTTCTTATTATATTAGAAGAACTTCTATCAGCTCTAGAAATCTTAATTTTGATATTATATTTTAAAGTTCTGTATGGGTTCTCCATCTTCAGAAAGCATATCGATTTTTATTAATATATTAGAAATGCTTCTAACGGCTTTAGAATCTTAATTTCTATATCAACTTTTTAGTTATATTTATTAAATCTAATGAAAATTATTATATCAGGAATTGATTCTGCATGAGTTAGCTCTTTAAATTGCATATTAATTACTTAAGTCTAACCAAAATAAGTCTAATGGTCCTTATTACCTCATAAATAAATCTAACGAAAAATTAAGTTTAACCAAAATAAGTCTAACAGTTTTTATTCTAACATTTCCTTAATCAAGAATTACTTCTGCAAAGATTTACACATTAATTAGCATATTAAAAAAAATCATGTGATCTTTTAAATCTAACGAATTTTACTATAGACAAGAATGATTTCTATACAAGCTAGCTCATTAAATTGCATAATCTTTAAATAAATCTAATAAGGTTTTTGTCCTAACTTTTCCTAAGTTAAGAATGTATTCAGGGCAGGCCAGATCACTAAATAGTATATCTAATATTTAAGAAAAGTTTATAACAAGAACTACTTCTAAGCGAGCTAGCTCTTTGAAAAAAATATATTAATCTTTAAGTCTAACGAAAAAATTTTAAGTCAAATGATTGTCCTAAATTCCCCATTAATAAGTCTAACGAAAATTGTGAATAAAGAACTGGTTTTGCGTGAGATAGCTCTTTAACTAGCATGTTTTATATAAAGTCTAACGAAAATAACTTCTGTAAAAATCCAGAAAAATCTGCGGAATTGCCCTAACTTTTCTTTAGTCAAAAACAGGTTTTGTGAATAATAGCTCATTAAATAGCATATACATCATAAACCTTTAACGAAAAAAAAGTAAGTCTAACAAAAATTTAGCAAATGTTAATTGAATATTACATCCCAAATTTTAGCAAAATTTAGGTAAAGAGTTAGCCGAAATAATCTTTCCATTTATTCTAGCCGACATCTATCACAATATTCTCCCTCTTCTAGTTTTATTGGATAGAGGCATTTTTTATAAAGAGAAATATTAAGATTTGCAAGCGCATCTCTATGGGCAAGCATTATTTCTTTATAAGTTTTTTCTTGTATCTCAGATCGAAATCTTTCACATATCTCTGATTGAAGCCTTTCTTGCATCTCCAATTGAAGACTTTCTGATCAAAGTCTATCATAATACTGAATAACATAATAGCCTCTAATATGTAATGGGCATCGGCCACAAGCAGAAGCTGTAGGCTTCTTGCAATCAGAACATGGTACCCTTTTTTTAGCTTTCCAATGAAATCGGTAACCTTCTAGGTAAATGCAAGGGTTATTGCAAGCCTTTCCAGTATTGCAAAGATACGGATATGAATATTCACCAATCATCCTATTTTTTAATACTAAATTTCGAAAGATTAATTAAT